CATTGAAAAACGAACCCCCCCCCCTCAATAGAAAGCTGGCTACGGGCCTGTACAGCGGGTGACATTGTTACGGCACAGAGGGCTGCACTGTCACCAGAAACCATTGCCGTGCTTCTCTTTCTCAAGAAAAATATGAAATTAAATCATGTCATATAATACAATATATGATGATATTAAAACCATCAAATTGTTACTATATCATGCATGGTATACACTTCCCAATACGTATTGGGAAATATTGCAATACGGTTTTGTCGTATTGCAATATATTGCAATACGGTTTTTGGTCGCAATACTCACCCCTACTGTCATGATAATCGGTTATCATTTTAATAATACCAGATTACCCCGGGAGATTACCCGCTAAGAATAGAGTGGGCCTTTATTACGTAAGCTGAGCCGATATAGGCACCTCTTGTTTTATGTATGTTCCGTTGTTGTTTCAACACGATTGAAAAATATTATTATTAGATGCAATATATCGATTTCTAAAGATATAAGTCTTATTCTTCAATGTGTAAGTGGTTTAGTACAACATACATGACACCTACAATATATTGCAATATATAGCAATATATATATTGATTTGATACGACAGCTAGCATTCAACTTACATGAACAATGTAACTAGTAATATCATGTCACTGAAGGAAAGTAAAGGAATGTTCCAAACGTGTCTAACTGTTGTACACAAGTTCGGAATGTGATAAGTGGGTAACAGAGGTCGATGCGTAGTTGTTCAGACGCATTTAGAGCATTATTCTTTCTAATTTGAGCAATTAATATGTGCTGTATGCAGTGGATTGTAGCAGTTACGTACATTTAGCATATATCGTTTATATCGGTAGTGTAGAGTTATAACACGGTTACTGTATGTAATGGTTTAATGGTTTATATTGTGGTATACCAATATACGATATTATCACGCACCTCTAATAGACACAACATGCAGTCTAATAGTAATTATAGTGGGCACTACATGCCTGCACAAACAATAGATACATGTTTGAAATATATCACCTTGCTGAAATAAACACCACGCCGGAAACGTTTTCTTGCCCTGTCTGCAACACCTTCAGGGTCCAGCTGCCTCAGCAAGTGTTGGACAGTAAATCTACAAACATGTTGTGACAATAAAGAGATAAACATACTGATGCGAGCAATTATGGAGGCACGTATTTACCAGCTAGTCCTGTCCATATTCATAAATGTAGAACGAAACGTGGATAAACTCGCAGGGAATAATGGCATATGCTAATATTGTCCTAACCAATTGTGCTAGGCTACGCATACATGTAAATTTAAACATGCATGTCATTATATGACCTACATACTGATAAGATAGCATTTTCATTTTGTTGTTTAAACTGTCTACGTCATGAATTTCGAGCACCAGCAAGTAGTATATTTGTGTGTTATTTGTACAAAATAAAATGTATGAAAATACAATTAGCGTTTCTATTTACTTTTCATGCTCATATACCTTCTTTATACTCCCTA